ACTAAAAGAGAGAGAGAGAGAGAGAGAGAGAGAGACAACGTTCGAAAGGGGCATCAAGCAGACACGAGCACATCAGGCTGTGGGAACACGCAGCACCACCCCTCGTCCATCTGGACGAGGCCAAGCGCAAGCCTAAATAAAGCATCCAAAGGCCCCACCACAGAGGCCTGGCCCTCGCCTGGCATGGATTTATGAAAGACGGATACATAAGTCCTAAAGTTTTTTTTAAACTAGTTGCTATAAAGAGAAATGAGATTATACTTTATTTTGCTTTGTATAGTTTTTTTGTATTGCTTGATTTGTCATTGACCTAAAAGTGAAATCTGATGAAGATAAAAAGATTTAAAAAAAATAAAGATGTTTGGATATCTATCTGACTCTGTTTCTATTTTTCTTTCTCAAGCAGATTAAAAAGCAATTAAACAGTCACAAAACTTACACCTATGATAATACACAAAATGGGAAATTCCATATTGAACTACAGAATTATATAAATATATTTTTTTTAAAAACATATAAATATAAGTGACATTCTCAACATATTGTTGTTTCTTTTTCTACAAAACCAAAAGATCTAAAAACTGAGAACTGAAACCAGAAAAAGTTCAACCACACACAAAAAAAATGAACACTTACCCAAAAAGATAACTAAAACACACAGTAAACCCCCAACATCACACTGCACTCTTGACCAAAATGTACAATTACGTCTCTGCCGTCCCTGCATCAACTTGTGGCTGCTTTACCTCAAATGACCATGTAATGTGCAGAGAGGCAGGAAGCCACCATAAAAAAATAAAAAAAAATGCTGAAAGAGCAGCCACTCTGTCATTGTCTGTTCGCCAGGCTTTGTATAGCTCTCCCAAAAAAAGACAGAAAATTGTTTGTGGCTTTACTGTTTGTAGGTGACGTCATGTGAACCGTAACAAGTCTAGCAAGACCCCCTGTTTCGTTTTCTATTATGTTTTCTTTTCTGCTTCTTCTTCGTCGGGGGCCGCAGTTTGACTCCCAGCCTGCGTGTCTCTGATAAAGTGAACCCACTGCGTATGCCGTTTTGAACCCCTTATCTGTCTAAAATACACAAAAGCAAAGTAGAGGGCAGACACATTCACACGGTGTCCCATCACAGAGCATCGTCTACAGGAATGAAAACCACAAACCAACCTGTTTCCATTTAGAGCCCTACCACCATGCACACAAGCTTTTTTTGAAATTTAGTCACTGCCCCGGGAACAAGCACACACCCACATATAAGTGCATGCACATACACAGCAAAAAAAGGCAAACACACACACACGCACAAGCACACACACACACACACACACACACACACACACACACACACACACTATAGCAGGCTGCATGTTTCTGGTGAGTGCGTTTAAAGCAGCAGTCTGCTGTTTCCCCCCAGGATGTTTACAGCTGGGATCACCAGGCGAGTCTGGCTTTCTGGCAGCTTTACAGCAGGACCAGGGAAACCCGGGCAGACACACACACACCCAGGCAGACACACACACACACACACACACACACACACACACACACACACACACACCCTACACAGAAGTACTAAGAGCCAAAAGGGCACCCAAAGAAAATAGATCCTACAACCACTAAAGGACAGAAAAGCCATTTATTCTGTTTGTGTGTCTGTGTGTTAATGTCAACAGGGAAAATATCTTTGTACACATGCGTGTATAAATTTAGGAATCTGATTCATACGATTATATGAATATCACATGTGCTGAGAATCTATAACATCACAGTGGTGTCTGTTTTTTTTTAAGTACATTTTTGTTTTCTTTTCAATCATTTTTTTTCTCGGTTTACTGTACATCTCGCTCCCTCTCTCTTTCTCCCTGCTTTGGGGAGGCTTTTAGCCTGATTCAAAGAATCGGCATGTCCTGTGGTAATACAGACCAGAAGGTTTCTAGAAACACACACACACACACACACACACACACACACACACACACACACACACACAGACACACACACACACACGCATACACATTCATGCACACTAACCAAAACATCCTGGCACCACTTGTTGGGTTGAAAGTTATTATTAGTGTCTAGGGGTGTGTGTGTGTGTGTGTGTGTGTGTGTGTGTGTGTGTGTGTGTGTGTGTGTGTGTGTGTGTGTGTGCGCTTGTGTGTGCGTGTGTGTGCGTGTGTGTGTGTGTGTGTGTTGGTTGCCAGACTACAGCAAGGGTTTTCCCCATGACGAGAGGCAGCCAATAAAACGGCGCTGTGCTGTTTTGTCTGTTAGTATAAAGAAACATGTCAATGTGTTTGTATAAAACTGCACAAAAAGATGCACAAAATCTGTTTTTCTCTGCAGGCAGTCATATGTTTTTTTTTTAAACATTTTTTGTGCCATTAATCTTAACATAAAACTGTTTCCAGCTTTTTATCAACTGTGTGTATTTTGGCAAGTATCCACCCAGGTGCACATGTAAGTATAAGCCCTCATGAGTACTCTAACCTCTAGTGTGTGTGTGTGTGTGTGTGTGTGTATATTTGTGTGTGTGCATGTGCATGTGTGTGTTTGAATGCGTGTGTGTGCGTGTGACTGGACTGTATAAAAATGTTCAACTTGGATAGGAAACATAATGGAAAGTTCCTTTTTTTTCTGTCTCATTTTCCTGTTCTTTTCTTTCTGCAGTGCTGTGGTACCCTTCAGCCGTGGCGCTGAGCTTCAACACCAGCACTGTGTGTTGGTTTTGGGTCTCCCCGCGCCCTCGTTTTTTTTCCATGTTCAAATAAATATACAGCACAAGCAGGGAGGGAGAGATGGAGGGAGGGGACAGAGTAGAACAAGAGGGTGACAAGGAAAGACTGAGACAGAAAGGGAATGGACAGATGGATGCGGGGAGATGAGGATGAAGAAGAGTTTGTTCTGGATTTTGGGATGAAGTTTTGAGAATGTATTAAGGAACGATGGGAAAAAGGTAAGAAGGGAGGATATAAAAGTCCACCAGTTTTCCACCTCCTCCACCTCCTTGCCTTCCCCCTCTTCTCCCCACTTTCTCTCCCTTCACATGGTCCTTGTTACTCCTGCTGCTAACCAGCTAACAAGAGACACTCCTGTCTCCTCCCCTCGTCTCCCCTACAATTCAGTCCCTCTCTTACTCTGTGCCCCTTCTTTGAAATGAAGTAAGTTTATTAGAAGCAGCTTGTGTGTGTGTGTGTGTGTGTGTGTGTGTGTGTGTGTGTGTGTCTGTGTGTGTGTGTCTGTGTGTGTGTGTGTGTCTGTGTGTGTGTGTGTAATTGGGAACAGGGCAGGGCAGGGGGCTCTGGTATGCACATGTGTATGCCAGCTTCGGTGTCTGACATACTGGGCACACAACACACAGCTTTAACACACACACACACACACACACACACACACACACACACACACACACACACACACACACACACACACACACAGCCTTATGTCAGCGAGCTGAGCGGCTGTGGCTAAGGTCTGGAGACAGTGAGACTGTGGCTACCTCCTAATAGTTCTGCAAAGCATCATGGGACACCGCTTTGACCAGTCAGCCCAGTAACAAAGCATGTAGGGTCAAATCATGTCTGTGTGCAGAGGACAACCACTGAACTTGACCGATAGTCATATTTGCCGGTGGGATGAGCTGGAATGACTTTTGGACCAGAAAGTGGAAAAGAAACTGGTGGAGAAAAAACACTGAAATAATTCTGCTGGTTTTGTAATTTGCTGGAAAATATGATACAACTGCTGTTGTTACATTAGATGCATAGTTTTTGGGTGATGATGTCTCAGGTTGTGCAGTAAAGATGCAGATACATTGCTCTTGCAGTAAAATGTCACGTCTCAGTGTACCACAAAGTATTAGTCAGGTTACAAGATTACACAATAGTCAGTGGAGTTTATTGGAATGAAAATCACTCGGTTGGAGTTATGATTGAAATTTTTTTCCAAACATGCAATCCAATCAATCACACCGCTATAACCAATCCAGCTTTAGACTGAGGAAGGACCAACTACCTAATTAACATACGGACACAGAAATAAATAAATAGATGTAGATATAAATAAATAAATGTAGAAATACATAAATAAATACATAAATAAATCCTGAAATGCAGAAATAAATAAATGTATGAATGAATAAATAGATAAATAAATAAACGTAGAAATACATATATTTATGTATTTAATTACTCATTTTGGCATTTATTTATTTATTTATTTATACTTATGTAATTTTTTCTCCTTCATAAATAGAACCTGTTTGATCCAGAAACTCCAACTCAGTGACGAGGCACTCTCCTGACCTATAGTGTAAATATTATCAGTCAGTCAGTCAGTCAGTCAGTCAGGGACATTCCCAATTATAGGACTGACCCTGCTGTTGTGGTCCAGAGGGCAATAACAACTTTATTTTTTCAACTGTAAAATGTCTCGCTAACTACATACTGTATACCTCGGCTACAACGCTTTAATAACTAAATCATAAAAGTTTTTGTACGATGTATGTAAAGAAAAAAGGCAATATCTTGTTATCAGATTTTGAATCTTGGTATCAGCCTCAGAAATTCAGTCATACTGTGTTTGTATTCCAATAATCTATTATCCTGTCAAATGCTTTTTTTAAGACGTCACTTTTAATAATTAAATTGTAGTTTTGCCTGTAATTTGCTGCAGTCAATTCTGCAGAGTTTTTTCTTTTCCCTTTTTAGGCTGTTTTTTGTTTTCTTGCTAAATACCCACCCTCCTGCAACAAACTTTTACGTGCGCTGTCACATTATTTTACCAATGTTTTGTGCTGCAATGTTTTTAGCAAACACAACAAAGCAGAGAAACACAGCCCACTTGTCAGTTCGAATGAAGCATTGAAGATTTGACAAGCAGGCCTTTGACAGATAAATCACACAAACAGGCATCAGAACAAAACATTTACAAATACAGTATAATAAATAAACTCGAAGTATGCAAATAAAGAAATCTAAATTTGTGTGTACGTGGGATCTCACCTCATCATCCTTGTACCAGGACAGAGACTCGGCGGTGAGGACAAACCAGTACTCCTTGGCCCCTCCCTTCATGATACCGATGTTGTTGATGGTCAGCCAGCCCTTCCTGATCACCTGAGAGAAAAACGGATGCACAGACAAAAGAAAAAGATTTTGAGTAACATCCAGCAGTCAAAAGTCACCCTCAACATCACATTTGTCAGCTTGTGTATGTATTACACATGCGTACCTAAACTAACATGTATGCGGCAGCACAGTAAAATGTAATGACACAGCTCCTAGTAGAGGCCACTGCCACAAACAACAGTAGGGTGACGCTCACCTACACAGCTAAACACACTCCTCCCACTCTTTTTTTTTTTCTCTCTCTCTTGTACTTCATTCTCGACACCATACAGAAACTATGGACACAAACAGTACGTGGTGCGTGAGTTATTTACCTTGAACCGATCGTTAACTCCTCTCTCAGGCTGAATGAAAATGTGGAGAGAACATTACAAAGCTACGCCAACGCAGGGCATTTAGTAAAGGCCAAATACACAAGGATGGTCAAGTACCAGCACATTATAGCTGGCTGCTGGGACGGCAGCAAGGGGGTCAGCAAGCAGGGTGGGAGCGAGGCTACATAAGGAGGCTAGAGCAAGAATATCTCATGTCAAACCTTTTTTTTTAAAACCATGCAGTGAAATACATGAGCCTGACTGTTTTATTCTGTATCGTATGTGCTTTTTGAATAGAAGTGGTGGGGTTGTTATACTTAAGCTTTAAGCTGTTATACTTTTTTAATTGATGAATCCTTGAACTCTGACATAAAATCAGGGAGCGTCTACAGAAGAAAACCAATGTTTATTCAGCACCGTATAACAATGTCACAGCTATTCTGTAGCCCCAAGCCTATTTGTTTCTACTGAAGATGTAAAACATAAAAACACACAGTATGTTTTCATTTTTAAAAAAGGCTCGATAGTTTGTAGTTTTTAGCAATCTTTAATAGAAGTAAATTATGTATTTGTTGGGGACTATTTCCTGCTGCAGATTCGGTGCACTAGTGAATACTTGCACCACCAGGATAGTGTATATGAGATAGACTCAAAATAAACTACAGTGTGCGTTCAATGGTAACAAAATGGACATGTTGCCCAGAGCAACAGTGTGGCTCATCTCTGTGTTTTAACAGTTCCTGGATAATAATAGCGCTCTAAGGCACAGAGGGAAAAGCTACATCAGACTTTGGCTACACAAACAATACTTGTTACTACGATACATTCATAAAGAAAAACACAATATCACCAGACTTGTACTCTAAGGTTTTTCACTGCTGTACTGAGAGAAATAGTCGGATCAAAAGATAAAACGTATTTATTGTGGCATCATTACAAGTCAGGGATGATTTTATTCATTAAGTCCAACGTTGTAAATGTGTCTCCTAGAGCTTTACAGTCAGAACAACATATGACACCATCTATCTTTAAACCCTCAGTCTGGGATATAGGAAAAACAATACGGATAAATAAAAACTCATATCAAATGGAAAAACTCTTTGCGTGTGCCTGGAGAGTTTGAGATCTAGACTTGAATCAAAGATAAAGTTTTGTGGATTTGGACAAAATTTAAACCCACCAGTGGCTCCAGCATGGTTTAAAAGGTTGATCGAGAAGCAGTGGGGATTTCCATCAGCATATTTAAAGATGAGGACAGAATTTGGAGTTTTAAAGGATCCTACAGTCTTAGTACGGAGGTCAGGCGAGTGTTAAATCAGCTCAGTGCAGAACAGAAGCTGTGGGGGCTTAAAGGGTCAACTACAGCCATTTATAAACAGGAAGTGAAGATCCCCACTCTGTTTACAATGTGCCCCTAACCTCTGACCCCAATCTGGGTGGTTGTTATGACAATTGATTACTATGGAGGTCACATATGTCTGCCGTACTGCAGGCCCTCATTCTCCCTGGCCTTCTGCTACTACGTTGGACAAACTGGGAAAAGGCAGGGAAAGAGACTAGGTCTAGTGATGTGTAAATAAATATGGTTGATTATTGTGTTCAGTAAAAGAGGAAAAGAATCTCTCTTCCTCTCGTATTCACTTTTTGTCTCGTTTCAAGAGCACAACTGACTATTTATCTTGTTCAAACTACTGCTGCTGAAGCCAAAATAAGCAAACTGAACCTTTCTGTAAGACTGAAAGATGCCTGTGACATTAGCACAGGAACATTATATATAACAGCGAAGTGAATCTTGATGTGTAGGATAGCATTTTACAGTACATTTGTCATCCTAATGTGTGTGTGTGTGTAAGTGTAAGTGTGTGTGTCTGCAGGGTGGTCACAGCTGAAAAAGAGAGGAAAGGGAAGCAGCCAAGCATCCCCACCACAGCCACCTGCCCCTCTACTGGCAGTCAGTTGAAGCTCATTTCATACAAACACACACACACACAAAACCACACTCTCACACTCATGAACCCATTTTTAACCCAACACACATAAAAGACATAGTTAAAACATATACACGCACGAATGTAATCCCGACGTATGCAGAGCATAAAGAAATTGAGCAGATACGCATGACAGCCTAACTGCAGACATGCACACACTCACACTTCAAACACACACACACGCACACACACACACACGCTACTCACCATGATTTCATCCTGAAGAAGCAAAGCCACAGAAAGAAGGAAAAAGGGAAGAGACACAGCAAAAAGAGAAATCACTAGGAAGAAACAAGAGGCAACAAGATGATAAGAAAACGAAAGAGCTGAAGAATAAAATTAAAATGTGTGAAAAGTAGAAGAGGATCTACAGTAGAAGCTTCAAAATGCAGAAAACAAATCATGCAAAAGCAGTTTTTCGTAGCATAAATCTTGTTATTGTGATGCATTTACTGTATCCAGTTAATGTACTCTTTTGTAATTGGATAATTATTACCTTTTTGAGAAGGTTTTGTTTTATATATCCTGTTAGTGAAATTTTTGTGGAAAGTCGTGATTGATTGTGATTTGTTTTTGATGCAGATCCAGGAAACTTTTAAAGGATTTCTTAACATTATGAGCATTTTTTAATTAATTTTTTTTTGCTATTTTCCCATGAAACACTGCACTCACATGAATGAAAACAGTCACGTTGTGCATGATTTAGATGGAGACCCAGATGGAGACTTAAATTTCAAACCATTTCCTATTATTAAAATGACAGATTTTGAAGATTGTGCAAACTTGGCAGAGGTATTTGCTCTGTAAAAAAATGCTTTGCTTTCTATTGATATTAATATTATGATTATTGTTGTTAAAGCTTTAAAGCGTGCATAGTATTTCACAACAGACCTCAGTTTGTGCTGACAGCACCATGACTTTAACCAAAAGGACAAGTTGTTTGAAGATTCGACAACTGTTGCTCATTACTGTTTGTAACATGGAAGAGCTGTATTGTGTAGGATATGGACTGTTGCCCAGGGTAACAAGATACTGTATAGCTGTGCTACATTTAGCACGGACAAAACAGGGAGCTAAGTGCTACCAGAACAAAGCCTTGGGGAAATGCTGCATGAAGCTCAGATGTCACGTTTCTGGCGGACGAAACACACATGGATGAGTTCAGTGTGGACTCATGTTCCTGAGGATTAAAGTAACCTGAAGAAAATGACACAGCGCTGTACTGTAACCTGTGTACAGTATACATTGAACATGTCTGTGTGTTTGTGATCAAAGTACCTGGTTGCCAGCTGCCTTCTTCTTGTTCATTTGGTTGATCCTCTGCTGAGCGCTGCACAAAAAAAAACACATCAGGACACACTGTGGTTTATCCTCAAACAGCACATGAACTGATGAAAATGGCAAATAAATAAATACAGTTGCCCCTGTATTTGTAGGGGGGGGGGGCAGTAACTCACTTGGCAAATCCAATAAAGTCCTCATGGTTGGTGTTCATGTAGGACAACTCGATGTCTATCAACAGCAGCACCTGAAAAGAGAGAGAGCAAGTTCCCATATGTTTCCTATTTATTGATAATATTTTAGAGATCCTCTCCGATGAATTGATTCATGGCTTCTCAAGAAATGTTTTGGTTTTCAATTCGATGTGTGAGCTAATCTGATATTCATGCGTCATTTCTGTAACGCTGTCATCAAAATCTACTGTATGGTAGCAGCAAACTACACTTTGAAATGTATTCCACCTGAGATGAAGTCATTTCATTTTCCTTTGTCTAATTCTCCTAATGTGTAGTATTTTCATCATTACTCAAAACAAACCAAATCCCTTCTGCGCCACCACAAAACAACCTATGTAGTATTTGTGTGGTACCTGGTCCTTAGCGCGGTTTTCTCTGTCCCTGATGTGCTGGGTGACGATTCTCTCCATCTCCTCTCTCAACATGGGATATTGAGCCAGCTGTGACCACAGAGAATAGTAGGTAGGTGGCAAAAAAAACAACAACAAAAAAAAAAACATGCCAGCACACACACTCTGTCACAAATCTACATCCCAGTTAACCACAGAATCACTCATCTCACTGAACCACAACTCACAGTTCCACCAATATACAACAAAATGCCTTACAGAAATACAATCAAACATGTTATGTTGTGAGGAGTTTATCCCAGACTCAACTCTAGTCTCTGCACATCCTGACCAGCGGGGTGGATTCGTGTTGGACTGGATTTTATGCAAAAAACGACTATTTTCTGCCAACATCGAACAAATGCAAAAGACTAGTGAAAAGTCTGTGATATTGCCACACAAAAAAAGAGACTAAACAATGTTCCTGGCAGAAAAGTTTCCCTTTTCCCAGCACACTGTGGGTCTTTTTCCATGAGCTCATTGCAAACCCACGAACGCAGACATTGGTGGGCCTCCAATGTGACACAAACACATTTGGAGAAGTGTGAGGGAAGAAGAAAAATCAAAACCAAAATCACAGCGCAAGACAGAAAAATATACACTGTTTTCTTGCAAGTTACAATGCATCTTTCATGTCCGTCAGATGGTTTTGGGAGTGAGTGGATATCAACAGGCCTCTTTCTGGTTCCCAAGCTGATTTACTGCCTCCTGGTTTGGTCCAACTAGAGAGTAAAAAGACACCCATAAAGAATAGATGCTTTGTAATAATGGGTCACACTGTTAAGATGAATGTCAGTCCAGTTCCTAGTATTAAAACTTGTGATGCATGGCCGCGGGAACTAGTGGCGAGAGAATAATGTTCTTATAGTGTTGACACGGCCTACTCTACCTCAGAATGACTTCTTGGCCCTTGCCATTCTAACTCCTCATGCCTTGACCTAACCAATCCAATCAGCGAAGGCAACGATCATTAACCAATCAGAGGCAGTGTAGATTATTGATGGGTGTGAATGCTAATTTGCATTTAGGACCCAGTTCTTTTAGCATTATAGCATGTATATCCGCTGACAGTGACTAATATTTGTGCCAAACATATGTTTTAAGTTGCTGCTAAATTTGTTATTTACAACTACCCATAATAGCCTACATAATGAGATACTTAAAATATTTCATTGTTTTAAAATATTATCATGCCAGCAGATCTTGATGTATGACACACTTGTGCATGTAATATTTCAATACTGTGACTGTTAGGGACAATCATTTACAAAGTTTGAAAAAGTTAACGCTTTTAAGTTTTGAATATGTTCAAGTTTTCAAAAAGTTAACATCTGGATCACATCAGGAAAGCTCAAGCACACTGTGTAAAAACTCCACATTCATTTTGTATGAGGATACATTTACAGCACTTGTTTCTAGTTTAACCTGTTACTGGTACAGTCAAATAACTCCTTTGAGTTTTAGGAAAAGGTTTCAACTTGGTAGCAGTGAGGACGGTGTCATACATGGCGGCTGTAATTAACAATGTCACCATTGTCCCATTGTCAATAGAAACACTGTTAACTGACTGGATGAGGAGCACTTCATGGTTTTCGCACTTTGTAGATTCCATATCAACAATGGAAAACTCTGAAATCCATGAAAATAAAACAGTTAAAAAACAAACCGAAACCGGAAAAAAAAATGGATGTAGGTACTTAATATCAAAGCAACATAATTTATGCTACTGGAAAGGTGCATTGCAACTTGAAGTCAGAAAAGGCTGTCACATGTTCAGTGTCTTAAAAACTGACACAGAAACACAACACTGACAGGAGAGAGAAATCATTTTTTTTACAAAAAAATAAGGCAGCAGGCAGAGACACTCACACTGATTCAGACTGACATGCAATGCAAAGGAGCAGGGAGATATGGAGGGATGGGAGAGGAAGAGGGTGGAGGGAGACTTCAAACTGACCCCTTTGTGGATTTTGCCAAACACTGTATTTTATCATACAGTATCTTTAAATACAGTATGTCTCTGAAAGTAAAATCAAGATAAAAATGTGACAGAGAAGAGAAATCCAAAGGAGGTCACGCTCTCTTTCGGTCATTTGCTTTGGGAGGAAGCAGCCGGTACAAAGGGTTAGAGGACGACAGGATGGAGAGGACGAAAGAAAAATAAAAGGAGAAATAAAGAAATGCTCGAAGTATACGTCAATTAGTCAGTGAGTGGAACTACACAATCAGTCACTCCACTATATTAAACCATACTGACAAAGACAGAAATAAAATTTTAACCAAATTAAATCAAAGGATTTTTAGACATCATGAGGTCAAATATGGAAAAAATGATCTAACATGCAGTTTGTTAAATTGTCAATATAAAGCCAATAACTGACAGAAAACAAATGACAAATAAAGTTCAATTAAAATGCAGGTTATATGGTTACACTAGTTAGGTCTGTAGTAAGGACAGACCGATATCTGCTGGCTCAAATCTTTCACCACATATTTTTGAGGACATATCATGTATTTGCTCTTTTCTGCTGGTTATACCTGTTTTTAGTGTGAACTACTGTAATTTCTAGTTCTAGTTTATATGCAAATGCTAGGCATTTCTTCTGAGTCAGTTTACATAAATGAATTAATTTCAATACATTGATCATAGGCAGGGTGATGCCTGCACAGATGTAGGGATGGTGATGTTGGCCTGTACTGTGCAGACATTCAAGGTTCCCAGAGGATGAGGCTCATTGATTTTCTTGGTGGCATGATTTTTACTTTCAGGTTGACATTTGGCTTGATTGACTTGGTTAAGCAATATCTTTTAGGGATGTATAAAAGGTAAAAAAAAAAAAACAATCCTCATGACATTATGTATTAAAGTCAACATTGTAGTTTAGTTCACAGTTTTAAGGTGCAAACTTTACCAAACATTAGCACTATTTTAAAATCTGATCATAGAGAGCAAACTTCAGCAAAAAATTGTCAGGGATGATTTGATTAAATTTGGCTCTATCAGCAAAAATAAATTGTTTTTACTACTGCTTTGATGGTAGATAGTTCACATTTGGTTGTAAATCATAGAGCCTATACTGCAAATCAACAAACATGCAGTTCTACATTAACTAAGAAGATAATCACTGTCTCAACTGTGAAAATTTTGAAAAGATTTTTAAAGAAAATATTACATTTAACTCTATATCTAAATCTAAGTCACTCTCTTGTTGATTAACGGAGCTTTTTTTTTAAATACTACAATGAAGCAGTTCAAGTGTGGTTTTATTTTTGAATCTCATACATCTGATATCAGGCCAGCCATCGGTCTACCCCTACCTGTGATTAACAGAGATAGTGAAAGTGCCTTGGTTCTCTTTAGCATTTTACCTTGTTACTACACTTTTGAATGGTGAAGGTGAGTTCGCTCACTACCATATCTATACACTTCAGTGTGGGCTCCTTCAGCTTTTGGATCTGCTTTTTCACTATGGCCTCAAAGGCCAGGTCAGGGGTGAACAGCCCCGTCCTGTAGGGATAGGCAGGCGGCACGGGAGAGAGGAGTAAAATAAAAAGAAAGAAGAGAAAAAAGGCAGAGAAAGAGGAGTATAGTAAGAGGAGATAAAGGAATAGATAGATGGAGGAAAGTGACAGGGTGAGACAAATAAGAAACAAAAGGAGTGGAAACAGATATTGAAGGAAAGGAACAATAAACAGATGAGGCAGGTAAAAAAAAATGGAGATGGAGAACAGAAGAAACAACAGATTGAAGTTTAAAAGACAGGGAGAGGTGCGTTTGGGGGGTAAGGGGGGGGGGGGTAAACAGCACAGAAGGAAGAAAATGCAAGTGAGACATTTGGTTTCCCCTGAAGCCATTCTAAAACAGGGCAGTACTGGAGTCTCTCTCTATCAATCCAGAGCAAACAGTGAGGAAAGATAAGAGAAAGAGAAAGAAATAGAGAGAGCTCCCAGCCTGCACAACTCCACCAGCCAAAAACTCCAAGCGACGCACTGCAAGACCGCAGCTGTGCACCCCGACACTCAGCCAGGACGGCCTTATACCTCCCGGTGTTGACCCTGGTGTTCTCCACCCATCCCTCCTGCTCCCCTGACTTTCAGCGGGACCCTAATCATAACATTTACTATCCCAGTCCAACCGCTGTTGAAATTGTTTGGTCACAGTGGATCAATTTGGATAAAGACTACTGCGCTTTCTCTTGGCCTCGCTCACAGGCCTCTGTTGCTGAGAGCGCGGACCCCTGAGGCCTGTTGAAGAGCAGTTAAAACAATCATCATGGCTCCTGTCTGCTGCAAGTGCACAGCTGCAGTCCCACACACAATAAAGTCTGAATGCTGAGATCATCCAATATGGCTGCCAGGTATTCTAAGTGACTGACACATGATTTCCTAAATGTCTTCGTGTACAAGCAAAGGTTGAGTTCAATACAGTAAGAACATTTAAGTAGAAAACTACTCAAGCAAAAAAGTAATTCCTCTCCAATTCAGCGCTGTAAAAAGTTATGGTCATCTTTTCTTTACAACAAAATCTGAAGAGAAACAGAGAAAAGCTCAAGAGGGGAACAAGTTCCAAGCAAACACAAGCTGTGTCGCAATCCCACACTACATTGTCAAAAAAGTCATTGTACACAGGCTATGAAAAACTGTTGATTTTTGCACAAAAGAAATTGGCAGGCTGAACGAAGCTGCAAAAAATTTAAATAAATTGTGGATGGTGGTAAGATAGCTCCAGGAACATCTTAGAAAACAAAACATATGTATTAAATCTTTGGAACAACATTTTTCTTTGTCTGTGTTGAAAGGGCAATAACACTGTAGTCATCTGTGTCCCAGTCCCATACCACACACTAATTCTAAGCAGGTTTTGTGTCTGTAGTTGTTTCAAAAAAAGTCAGAATGCATAATTTTCTTTAGTGTCCCGTTGATGTGCACTGTTGTCCCACAATGCAAAAGAAAAAAAACAAAATAATTATTAAGTTTTGGAAAAACATTTTTTTCTTTGTCTTCTTTTGTGCCAGTGGGATTCTCTAGCCACAGTTTGACTGATATCTGAGGGCACTGACACTGCATAATTTCCTGTTGGTATAAAGTGTATGCGTTGATTTCTTTTACTGCAAAAAAAAAAAGATTTACTTTGAAGATTAGTATATTGCATAGATTGCAGTTAAAATGTTGTATTGATTTGGGTAGTTTGCTTGATGTCTGTTGGTGCTTGTAGTGCATTATCTCCTGTTGGTAAACAGTAAAGTACACTGATTTATTTTTTATCAACAGTGTATAAAAATTTGTATATTATACATACTGTTAAAATTTAGTGTAGAATTGTGACACAGCTCAAAACTATCCTCCATATTACCAGGAGAATGAAAAAAATACTCAGATTGAGAGAAATAATACTGGCAATTAGCTACTTTCTAACTTAACATAAAAAGTTATTTCATAAAAGCCTTAAATCATATTCACAAACTTTGGGTCCGAGTATCACTGACTCTTATTTGGCAACCATATTTTGATGACAGCTCAGCCTCCACACTGGATTTCTTTAGCACAGCTTTCTACCACGGCCAGCCTGTCCAGCCAAATCTGTCCGAAGCGGTACAGTGGCAGGCAGGCGGGTATACCGCAGCCCACCCTGCCACTCCAGGCGTCCCCCTCGCTGTCCAACAACAGCAAGGGCTGGAGAGAGCCAGGTGGTTACAGTAAAAGGGAGTGAACAGCAGAGGGGCTTTGCAGATGAGGGTTGGAAATTAAAAAAAATAAATAAAAGTGCTATCCACTGTTTACTTTTCATTTTTACCTTCTTGGTACACTGCCTAACCGTATTGACTAGCTCAGAAATGACCATGTCCACACATTTGGTGCAAGGCTCTTTAATCTTCCCAATCTGCCTTTTCACAATGGTCTCAAAGGCCATGTCCGGGGTGAAGAGGCCAGTTCTGCCCAGCAGAGAGAGAACCAACCACAGGGCCAAAAAAAAAGAAAAAAAGAAAAAAAAGAGGAGGATGGTGGAGAGAAAGAAAGAAAGAAAGAAGAAGGGAGAAGAGTTGGGTAAAGAAGAAAGTGTTAATTAATAATTAACCCTCCATTTTTGAGCTTTTCCCCAAACATAAACAGATACAAATTAGACAGAGAGAGGGAAAGGGGATGGAACTATGAAAACAGTTAGAAAGCGACAGATATAAGTTATCTCTACTTACTTCTCTAATTTCCGCAGCAAATATCCACTAATTTTCCCTCAAACGTTGAGAGTGAGTATGTTACTGTGGACCAGTTGGTGAATTATCCAATGGGAGGATAATTCAAATAAATAAGAATTACTGTTTTGTGAAAGACTTATTGGTACAACTGCATGGCTGGTACAAGCAGCCAGCATACCATTGTAAAAAAAAATAATGTTTTGTTGCTTCATTCTTATCCATTAAGTTACACGTTAAACTAACCTAAACATGGTTCAAACTGACTACAAACAAACTTTAAAAAAAAAAATGAATGTGTGTTGAAGCAGAGCCTCCCTTTTTCCTTTTAATACATGTCTATCAGCAAATTCAATATCTTTGGGATTAAAGGATGGATCTTTGGGATTAAAGGATGGATGCAACAATGACTCGGTATCAGAAAGTGACAAGATAGTCTGTGCCAGACTGGGCTAGCTGGTTAGCATGTTAGCAAGTTAAGTAGAAGAAAATAAGAAATAAACGCAAAACAAGTTGGTTGCTTTCAACTGCTGAAGACAGCTTTTGGCAAGTAAAGGAACAAAGTTTGATGCTGAACTCACGGCGCTTCTTCTAGACTGGTAAGTAAGCAGCTGTTAATGCTAATGATAGCTATGTAGCAATAGCAAAATTTACAAATAGCTCCTTTAAAAGGCAACTCCTTTGAACTCTCAGTTCAAACTCAACATAAGAAAACCTTTGGCAACTTTGGAAGTGTGCACTGTAATAATAATAATATAAATGTCCCATCCAAAAATCCAGCACAAGTCTGAATTTATATTGATCTACCTTGTATGATCCTGGGCATCAATCAATGAGCTGGTATTTTACTAACCAGCTTGTGACTGACTGGTAAAATAATTGAGGAAACACTTATTCTGAACTCACTGAGTCCAGATATTGTACTTTATATAGTTACATTACTTTTTAGTCAAATGTTAACTCTTATACATTAAAGGGTATATTTTTTTTTAAAAGTGAATAAAAGGTAAGTTCAGCAACCAAAAGTGCAGGATTTCACCAACCAGAGAGACAAACAAAAGGAGACAAAATGTACATTAAAAGGCCAGAAAAATAATGCCACTAGTAGACACCTATCTAATCCCAAATTTCCTCTGTCTAAGTGCACTCAAGCAGAGAGCATTCAACAGAGCACTCGAGCCAAGTGTAGAGGCCTTGGTGATTAGATAGGCAATGTCAGTTAGACGCAGCAGAGGTGACTGATATGGAGAGACAGAGGAAGGTGACGTAAAGAGGAAGGGTAGGAAAGACGAAGGGGAGAGATGGAGGGCAGACGTGCCTGATGCCGTGAATGTTCTTGATGGCGTAGCTGATCTCCTTGCGGAGCTCCTTCTCATCGAACTCCATCTGAAAAAAAAAAAAATGCAGACAACAGGGAGGATTAAGTATCCACACTCTTTCTCTCACAGATTCATAGATCAGATTTATTCCTCCATTCTTTTTTTTTCTCTACAGATGTCCAAATGCCATGTCAGCTCATAAAATGCCCAACTTCCCAAAATGTTAAAATTATATGAAAGCAGACTAAACATTTAAGCCCTTTCTTGTGAATTGCTGGATAATTTAACTTTTTCAACATCTAAAAATGATTCAAATAAAACAGATGTGGGAAAAAAAAAAAAATTTTTTTTGGCTGACCTGCATAATCCCACAGGCACATGCAACCAGTGATATGGGTCACAAGCAGACTTTATTTTGAGCTGAAAATGTCAGGAACCACCGGGTTTCTTAAATGTCTCTGCTGCTTTTATTTTGAAAACATTAATCATGCTTTTCCCCCCAACAGATTTGACTCATTTTGAGCCTAACACGCTGTAACATTTGAAGTAGATTGGCTATATTCTTACAAAATCTGTTTTTAATTCAAAGTATATTACTTTTATTTACGACAATGCACCATTATTTTTCATATTTTCTTTGAAGCATGTATTAAAAACACATAAAACATAATGATGAACTGACTTCTAATGCATCTGGCAGATACTGGGGTTTTCTGTGTCATGAGCCAAGCTTCTGGTTATAGGAAGCAACCTGCTCTGTCTTCTCGGTGGGAAACGGACTGGGCATTTTTTTCTGCAGTCTCAGTCATAGACAGAAAGTTTTATATCCTCAGAGGGAGGGTGAGAGAGGACAAAGGAGAGGGATGGATGAAAGGAGGGAGAGGAAGGAAGGGAAGGGCAACGGCTGGCTGAGAGAGAAAATGAAAAAGGGATCAAATATGTAAACCAGGGGTGGGGTGAGGTAAAAGGCTTTGAGAGACAGAGGCTGGAGAAGGTGGATGACAGGTTCTGGGTAAAGATAATGTGAACAGAAAGGATATGGGGGGGGAGGGGGGGGGGGGGCAAGGTTGCGTGCGGTGATGGAGTGAGAGACTCAGTGAAGAACATGAGGTGAGGGGAGAGAGAAAGTAGACACAGGATTGAGAGATGTAGCTGTTGGACTGGAGAGGGAGGAACGAGGAATGTTTGTGTCAGAAAACCCAGAATGAGACCCCTGAGGGAGGACTCCTCTGCTTCTGAGGCTGGGAAAGGACTGTGAGGAGGGAGCGACTTAGGGATGTAAAGAAACAAAACATTTTTTCTTTCATTATTTTGGATGCTGCAATACAAAGAATTTTCCTTCTATCATTTTCTGATTTGGAGATTTTCATCACTCATCACTACATTTTTATGTACCTATTACTTGCGTATTCTTTAGGAATATGGCGTTTTATAAAAATCCCGAAAACTTCACTGAACTGAATTGAGAGAGAGCAAGTAAACAAGACTCCAGCCCTGCGAGAAGCTAACCAGGGCTTTTTGTCTTTATAGTTCTGGTATGAAGCGGAGCAAGAACTTTGTTGTTGGTTTTCTGTTGAAGCAAATTTAATTTCATAAAGCTGTTTATTTATTCTAAGCATTGGCATAGTCAGTCTGAAGGCTGATTGCATGTCTGTACTGTTTATTTCCCATCCATGGTCCAAATCTTGTTAAGCAGTCTCACACACTGTTATCTTTTATTTTTGACTTTTTTATGTTCTTCAGCCAAATACAACAAACAAAGGAGCGTTTCTTGTTGCTGTCAGGAGGTCACCATCATAGTGTGTGGAACGTGTGCGGGTACGCAGACCCCCAATTATAGCGTGAAGAGAAGCGTGTCCGTGACCTTGCAGCTCCCTTTATCCTTTTTTTTGCAAACTGAGTATTGCTGAGTGATCTTTTGTGATCATGAGACATCAAAATCTAATCTATGGTTTTCCTGATTATATTAATTTCAGTGGGGGATAATAAAACAATTAAACAAAATCACACGCATAAACACAAAATCTGGCATACACACACCTTGACCAGTTCAAAGGGGAAGCGTTCATGGAAGATGCGATTGATCCTGGCACCACCTGACAGCTCCGCCGTGTCAATCTGGTCCCCAGAGCCCTCTATACACTTCTCAAAATCCACAGAGAACTGCTGTACCATCCTGCAGGAAGGCAGATTCACAGATATCAATAAATCCATTCATTTGCTTCTATCTAACCGCCTGTGTATCTACTCACTGGAGCAGAGCCTTGGTCTTGCGAGACGGATCGTCAGGTCTGAAGTTCTTGTACTCCTCCACCTCCTTCTCTATGGAGAGGAGCTGACTCTGCAGCTTGGCTCGCAGACCCGGCAGGGTGTCCCGGATGTGGTTGGTCAGTTGCTGCGCAGGTCAAAGGTCAGAGTTAGACAGAATTAGTTAGAATTAGACCTGGTGTTGCAGGGTAAAAAACAGGATCTATGAATGGATGTACTACAGACACTTTGTCTTTATTGCTCTTTTACACACCTGATTGAGGATTTTCTGGAGGTAGGGAGTGCCCATACGGTCTGCCAGGTGTCTATACGCAGGATGGGAGAGGAAGAACTTCCTCTCAGCAGCCATGGCAGCATTAATGTCCTTCTTTCCATCTATGTCCTTCTGGCTCCTGTTCACCACACCGATGTAACCTGGACACAGCAGATGAGAGTCCCACGGACATTTAAAACACAGTCTGGACCATAGTGAGATTTGCAGAAAAACACAGATCCAACTCTTTTTTTTATCATCACTTCCTGGAATTTCAGAGAGCACCCTAGACTCAATGCTAGTTGGCAGTAATTTGACTGGGAGATAGCATAGTGTTATCTTAAAGCAAACTGGGATTGTGGTAGACTTTTATTTGCTACATAATGAACTGAGTTTAAACAGCCAAACCCAGAATGAAAAGCCCCTCCGGTAGTCGACCACTTATAAAAAAGTGTTTAGTAATGTTTAGCTGCGTAAAACCACATTTTAAGAGACATGACATTGAAGAAAAGAATATAGATGAAGGATGAGTGGAGGTGAGGAATGCAGGAAATAAGAAGGTATTGCATGAATAAATGTCTGTATGTGTGTGTCCAAGTTTCTTTCAAACAGACAGAGAAAAACAAAAAGGAGAAACAACCCAGCAGAGTTCAGGTCACATGGATCTCATTTCACCTCCAGTTAAGTTTTCTCATGCATCACTCAGTTAAAGGCTGTTTCATGCTCTATAACTAATGCAACTGTGAGCCAGCAGCCTTGTAAATGTGAACACATCCATGGCATTATACAGAGAGAGACAGGGAGAAGAAGAAGAAGAAGAAAGGGGGGGGGGGGGGGGGGGGGTGGACACATAGAAAAAACAAAGGACATGGAAAATATTCAGAAGCACATGCCTGGGTCCTAACCAAGTGCAAATGGAAAAGAAAAGCACCACATCAGCACATTGCAATAAAGGGCAGGCCGCAAGATACATGCAAGCTCTTTTCCAAGACAGTGTTTTTCTCTTTGCCCCCTAAACTGCTTTTCCTTTCCAGCTCCTCTTCTCTTCTACCTTTCTGCATCTCTTCTGATTTCTCACTCAGTACTGTTTTATTATACCCTCCCCCCCTCCCTCCCTTTTTTTTCAGTGTTTGGAGACCTGAACAGCTTTGAGTACAACTCCCTTATTACCACAAGAGGGAAACAGTGTGTCACTGCAGATAGAAAAGCGGCAGTGTCTGTGTGAGTGAGTGTGTGAGTGTGTGAATGTGTGTGCTCACCTCTCCTGAGTGGAAGCAGCTTATTCTCCAGGATGTCTTTAGCATCTGTCCCCTCGTCCATCAGGTCCAACTTGGTGATCACACCAATGGTCCTCATACCTACAAGCAGACACACACACACAGACACACACACACACACAGACACACACACGCCAAAATGATTCATTAACGGCACAGACCAATCCTGAAAACTGAGGTGAAAACTAAACTCATACACTAAGAGTGTATTATCTTAGATATTATTTTATTGATATTCGTGTTGAGTTGGAGCTTATTTTATCTTCTTTATGTAATTTTTGGTAATTTCATCTGTAAAAAGACATATTTTATATGGTGATCAAATATTTTGGATGCAAAATACCTGAGAAGTAATAAGTAACCATCAAATAACTGAAGTGGGGTAAAAAAAAAAAAAAAGTACATTTCCCTCTGCAATATGGTGGAGTAGAAGTATAATGTAACTTACCCTGAGGGTCGACCTCTTTGGCAATCTTTAAAGCGTCAGAGTTGGCCAGATCAGAGTTGGCCGGGGAGACGGCCAGCATCAGACAGTTGTCCTTGGTGACAAACTGCATCAGCATTTCTCTGATTTGGGACTCGATGTCTGCAGGTTGGTCGCCCACCGGCACCTTGGTCATGCCTGGCAGATCCACCAGGGTGAGGTTCAGCACTGTGAGGAGAAAAAGGAACACCAGAATTAAGAGAAAGCTAATCAAACTGAGAGCTTCTTCGGATGCATTGCTGCCAAATGAGAGGCTTGGATGTACAGAATTTACAAACTGGAAAAAAAGTGCGTGCTATCGAAGAGATTGTGTAGATTTTAACTATAAAACAAGATGAAGCCTCACCATGAGGGGAATAGACACGCAGGTTGATGGGAACAGGGGAGATGCCCTTGTTGGCCCCAGTGATGCGGTCAGTCTCTGCCTCAATCTCCTGCCGGACCTCATCAAAATCTATGAACTTTTTGCCCTTACAGTGGAGAAACTCTGCATACTCTGAAAGAGGCAGTGAAAGGAAACACATTCATGAAAGTAAAATTGCAGGAAAAAATGAAGATTAGATTAGATGATTTAATGCAAATGCACACTACAACTGTGTTGCAGCAAACCACCAGTCTCCCTATTACCACAAAACATTCAAAACCAATGCAAAATTGAGAGTGGAAGAGTGGAGGAGGAATGTTTAAACTCCGTCTGTCTCTGTCTCCTCCTTCTCTTGAGGCTGTTATGTCATTCACATTTCAAATAAAACAATATGACAGGAGAAAGAAAAAGGGGGGACAGTTCTTTCTGTGGGACCAAGAAGGACAGAATAAAGGATGGATGTAGCTCTGAAGCTAAGAAGATGGAAGGCGAAGGTCTAACAGCAATAAACCACAGCTGGACTGCAATTCGTTTAAGGGCCACTAGAGGCTGGCTTCAACCAAACTCCCACAGAATTTAAGGGAACAGAAGAACCACCTCTCATAATATTTAGGCTTTCAAAGTGTCAAGCTAAAATACAAGCTTCAAAATATCACTTCAACAACCTCTGGGTGACCTCACAGACACGTTTATATACATTTTCCATGATAAGTTGACAGCTCCTGGAGCTGCATCAGCTCACGGACAATAAACCTGTGCCAGCAAGCTGCAAATCACCCTCAGATATTAAATGTCAGGAACCAGACAAATGATGAAACCTCTCGTAAGAAGGGTGAAACATCTTTAAGACCACACAGTAAGATCAGTTTTCACTTAACACTACTACATATTCCATGACCTGGAAGACAAGATGTTTTTTACCTGTGGGACAATTCATCAGCTGCAGAACCAAAGGACGACGAGTCACAATGCCAGAACCACGAGGAAGGAAATCCCTGTAACACAACAGACATGCAACAAGGACAGTGGTCAGCTAAAAACAATGTGCAGGGACTAAAATAAAAATTAAAGAAATAACTTTATATATTATATCAAGTGTACAGTTACTAAAAACAAATAAACCCAGTGAAGAAACTAGGAACAGAAACATTCACAATGTGAATCTTCAAACAATAAAAGAGCAAGAATCAGCAATTATGAATCAGAATCCTGAGCCTTTGTGAAGATTTCAGTATTATTCCCTCTGTGCTGGGAGCAAGTGTGAATGTGTGTGTTTGTGTGCGTGTTTGTGTGTGCAGTGCAGTGCTAAATAACAACAAATCCTCACACAACAGCTGTGGTCTCACCAGGCTAAATGTTTATTTCATTTACTGCAGTGCCATTTCTACAGGAATCATCTGTGCATCTGTAGCCAGAACAATAGGAAAATGAAATAAAAATTATGACAAAAAATATTACTAAAAAAATTGTATTAATGTCTGAACACCTTTTTTTCAAGTGATATATCGCTATTATATCTTGAAAATACAGTGAAAGTGAGAGTATTGAAAAATGTCCATAACACCTTTAAGTAGCTCGTTTAAGTAGTTCACACAACACACACTCAATACACTGGAGAAATCTGAAAATATTGCTTGAAAAATGGCTGTAAATGATTATCAAAATATATATTATTAAAAAAATTACCAAGTAAGTTTCTGTCTATTGACTAATCAAATAATTGCTGATCATTGCAGCAGCTCTATATTGAAATTGAAAATATGAATGTTTGGTTGTACATGAAAAAGGAACATTTGTCTAAATTTAGACATCATATTGATATTACATTCATACAGATAGTCTTTTATCTTTTGTCGTCTGTATATTGAAAAATCATTAATAAAACAATACACTATCAGTGTTGTTACAATTCACTATCAGTAATAATGAAAATTACATGAAGTGTGACTGTATTTCACAGTGAATGACAATATGCACCATATAGAACTTTACAGTAAAATAAAAGTTAATAAAAAAGGTAAAATAGACAAGATAGACATTTTTTTTACCCATTTACTGTTCATCCATTTTGTTACATTAAAACTGTCATTTAATGATTGTCATTAAAAAGAGAGTTTGCTTTTCAGCAGCAGCAGCAAGATGGAAAATCACCAAACATTAGAGCAGAACAGTTTCACAGCTCAGTGACACTAATGGTTCACAGGCAAATAAAGAGTAAAAACTATAAAACTGAGCTCCTGTGGCCGTTTGCTTGAGCTTCTTCTGCAGTGTCTCCTTCTAAATGTCTGATGTCTGAAGATTCCTGAAGCATTTTGTATCTTGTAATTTCGGATATTCTCTCTTCTGTTTTCTTAGTTTTAGGATGTGTGTGTATGTGTCCATGCAGAATAATGTGCTTCACATCTGTTATCAAATAAAATACCATCCTGGTGTGTATGAGGTGTGAAGCGTGTGTTTTGGAGAGGCATGTGTTTGTACAACTGACCCCCTTCCAACCTGTCTTTTGTGCTTCCTTATGCACAAGACGCTGATTTCTTTGGGGTGTGTTCAGCTGCTTATGCAACATCAGCATCAGATCAGAGTGCGCTCCTCGCCCAGCTGACGCGACACTTCTCACTTCTCTACGGTTCGAGCATTTTTGCGTTCTTTACAGCTCGGTGACAGAATTTTAATTAAAGCAGGCAGATGCAGAACTGCAAAAATGTTTTCATAAATATTCGGTTTTCAGTAATAAATGATAATATAAAGGTTTAAAATGTTTTTAAATTAAACAACGCAAGGACAAATTATCCACTATCTGATGAGAGAACTCGACAGTAATCAGCTGAACGACATGAATAAGAAATAGTGGAGGACTCTGTTTGAACCAGAAGCAAAGCCGGAGGCAGTTTGGAAACATGAGTCATGAGCTGAGAGTTAATCAGGGCTGAGCTGCTTCTGCTGAAAATCATGACCTAACAAGGAAAAGCAATATCAGCAATTAGACGTTAAACAGGGGGATCATGTTTAACAACCACTGTTTCCCTACACTATATACTAATAATATTGATTTAGTCTCTCTGAGTGTTGCACATTTGGGAGTTGCAGCAGTGAATATGTACATTCTGCTCTATTACTTTAACGGACCAGTTCAACTTTATATTAGTTTGATACAAGGAATCAGATATACGGATTTTTAATTTTGAGAAAACAAGCACACTGGTATCTGCACTTGGATGGGAGGGGAAAAAGTCAGATCAGAGCATCCTCACCCCGCTTATGTTTTAACCTATAATCATTTTCATCTGTGTTATATTCTGAATTGCAGTATAACCTGAGCCTATCAGTAGTAATTGGAAAAAATGGGAAACAAAATATCATCCCATCAATCAAAAACAGCTAATTCATGAATGTGACACAAGATTATGAACTTGCATCAAAGTAAACCTTTCTGGAAAAATTGAATTGAGTGTTATAATCTCATAAAACTGCAGTTTGCTGAGTTCAGTCTTTCTTAATGCTTTTCCAACCTACAGTATGTCACTTAATGCAAAGGGGAGAATATGACAAACAGACTGTGTGAGTGTTGCCACAGGGGTGAAAATACATGTACTGTACATCATACTGCAGCTAATATTTGCTGATGACCAACACCTGCTTCTATGGATACAGCGGCGCATCATCAAACAGGAAGCTACATTTCTGAGTATTGTCTCCATGTTTGTTGTCATACAACATGCAGCCTGGTACAACAAAGGAAACCCTGCTCTTTGCTGGCCTTTATGATTGTCTGTCCATCTGCTGGTCTACCTGCCTGCCAGTGTGTGACCACAAGAGTGTGTGTGTGTGTGTGTGTGTGTGTGTGTGTGTGTGTGTGTGTGTGTGTGTGTGTGTGTGTGTGTGTGTGTGTGTGTGTGTGTGTGTGTGTCTGTCCTTTCTCCCGCTTGGACGGGTTTTTCAATGGGACAGATGGCCTTAACTGCAGGTCTTCCTCTCACTTCACTCCTCCTCCTCCTCCTCCTCTTCCTTCCCTTAAATTGCCACCACAAGGAGAAGCCACAGACAGAATCACAATCACACATGTCCTTGTTTTACTATATTTGCGGGGACCGTCATTAACATAATGCATTCCATAGCCCCTTACTCTAACCTTAACATAAACCTAATTCTAACCCTAAAACACACAGAGAGAGAGAGAGAGAGAGAGAGAGAGAGAGAGAGAGAGAGAGAGAGAGAGAGAGAGGGAGAGAGAGCCTTAGACACCTTCTTCCTCTGATTATTGATTACTTTTCCAGGTTTTTTTTGGATATTGTAGATAGATTAAATATCCAAAAAAATCAAGGTATCTCATCACATTGATGCCAAAATCAGAAGGAAAATACAATATTGCTGTAAAGTAATCCTGCTTATTGATCTGCAACCAAGAAATGACCTATTACATTTAAGGATAGCCACAAACAATAGGGCAAAATCTCTTAAGGCTTGACAAATTTACATAATCTCATGATATATCATCATATCGCCCAAACCATGTTAGATAGATTTATTGAATGATGAAGAGGGTAAATTGTTGCTGTTAGAACTGAAAGTGCTTTTAGATGGACACTGACTGCTGAGAGCACTTATAGATAACTGCTTGTAAAAGGTATCTTGATTTAACCTTTAAATTTCTCTTCAAGAGTCTGTCTTCCTGTTGCAAAGATATGTGCCACCCTTTCTTTGCTCCTTTTCATTTTATTTAATTTCAGCCCTATCATCTCTCTCTCTCTACTGTCTGGGGACTGTGTTGGTGCTTTTGGCAGTCACACGAGTATGAGTCTTCCCTCCCCATGGGGCGGGGCATCACTGCTGCAGAGTCACAGCTGATTAATAAGAATAATTTAATTGATTTTTTTGTAGCATCTTGTTTCTGAACAAATCAGTTTCAGAAAAAATGATTTCATACCCTGTGTATATTTCATCATCGAGGGCTCGCCCTCATTTATAATGATGTTGAGAAACAGTTCAATTGACTTAAAAAAAAATAGAACAAACATTCAGCCAGTGATTCATGCATTCTCTGTAATTTGCTTCCACATACACGTACACATGTGCACACACACACACACACACACACACACACACACACACACACACACACACACACACTAACACACACGCGCGCGCACACACACGCACACACATCAAGAGGACGCCAGCTGCTGTGAAGTAGTGACTCATTGTTTCTTTGTTTAAAACTGTACACATTCAGTGGTGTACAAAAAAAAACACAACAAAAACCCAGATGACATATTCACTCAAGCAGACTCCACAGTTTTGGTCAGTACAAAAGAGCTTCACTTAGCAAAAAAATACATTTTCAAGCATTTTCATGTTTTTTATATCGTGTATATTTTTCTTATCTTATGCTTATCTTCTGTATAAATGCCACCAGAACAAATTATAGTAGTATTTCTATATTACAAATTCAAATGAATGTTTTATATCAGGTTATTTCCAGGAAAATAATAGCATTTTCAATTCTTTAGTGATAAAATTGCCCCGACTGGGGTGAGTGGGATGAGCGGATTTATCCTTTATAAATGTTTTACAATAGTTCCCTATCAGATATTGTACTTTTTCAAATAACCCAAACTCAACGTGCTCCTCTGCTGGTGTCTTCGTGTGCGTCACATCACTTCCGACTCCCAGACACAGTCAGACACTGAGCCGTGTCTAATCCTGTTCTAATGCGTGCAGCAATAATAACAACCCTGACAGTCGTGAAGCAGCAAAGGCAGGCAATTTTCCTTCCCAGCATCATTTGGGTCTTAGAAGGATGAGACTGCTTTTTGGTGATGAATAGTGCATGCGCACACACACACACACACACACACACACACACACACACACACACACACACACAAATACATATGTTACTGTTAACCACAGACCTAGATGGAGCCAATGGAATAGCTGGATGGTGGATGCCAGATTAGACCAGAGCCAATGGGAGAATGTATTGTTGGTGAGCTGC